AGAAGGAATGGCATCATGCAAATAAGTCTTGTGGTTCTAGAACCATGAAAAACTGCCTTTGGAAGGAACATCTGAAGGTCAAGCAGTCTATAATTTTTTTTAACTGCAGACAGTTAGAACAGGTTTCTCAGAGCTCTGCTCACCTAAGGTTTGAAAATCTCTAATGATGGAGATCCTGAAACCTCTTTGTGAGAACTATTCTAGTGTTTTATCCCTCTCATTTTGACTTCTTCAACCTTATATCCAGCTGGAGGATTTTTAAAGTTTTTTTTTGTGGATTTGTTTTTGGGTGTTTTGTGGGTTTTTTTGGGGGGGTTTTTTGGTTTGTTTTGGGTTTCTTTTTGCTTTGGGTTGTTTGTTTGTTTATTTGGTTGGTTTTTTAATTTGTTTTGGTTTTGGTTTTGTTATTTTTTTGCAGCAGGGATCTGTTTTCCTGTCCTTTTGCTAATACAGCAAGATGAACCTAGCTGTGTTTTTATGGATCAAATTTAGAGCATCAATTAACCAATTCACTGGACTATGCCAACCATTGTTACTCTAATCTGGATGAAGAAATCATGTTTCTCCATAGATCATGCGCAAATTCTCCCAAATTACTTAGTATTTCATAATGCTTGACTTTTAGGTGATCATTTACAAAGTTTCCAAGTACTCTAGCTGTCTAGATTTTATTTCTAACTTGATTCCTTTTAAGAGTTTGAATTCCAGAAAGTCCTTGTTTCCTCTCTCTGAAAATGAAGCTTTCTAAGCAGGAGGCTGTAGCTTGAGATGGTGTGATACTGCTGATGGTGGAACCATCATCATTGATCACAGTGAGCTTCTGCTCAGCAAAGGCACACTAATACATTCCTCACTATCCTATGGATGAGTTAGCAGCTTCTGAAGAAATAAGTTTCACAGAACTCTTGACCTAGGATTGACTCTTGACCTTTTAAGAAAGGCATTGAAAATACCTGAAGTTTGGCCAGCAAAACTGGAAATATCTGTAATCAGCAGTCACGCTTGAAAATCTTGGCCTCAGTCTTCGTTTATTGCAGTCTCGTGTCAAATAACATGTAAGCATGTAACAAATGAAGCAATTTTCAAGATTTTATGGAACCTTCAACAAAAAAGAGGTTTACTTTTCAGATCAAAACCCAACCTTCTATCTCTTTCCACTCCAAAAGTACAAAAAAAGAATTAAAAATTAATTTGCATTTCAATCCATCAGTTCTCACAGGATTTTCCTAAAACTGTAGATGTCTAGCTGCTGAGTCTGAATTTCTTCAGGATCTGACCATAAACTACTACTAAGATATGTCTAAGGCAAATTTTTCTTGATTTTGATCTGAGCTTTGACATATTTTTGTATTACTTAGGTCACAAGGAGTACCAACATCTTACTGTCTCTCAGCCTATCCAGCCTCAGACCTGTTAAATGCCAGGTACCTTGCACAGATGAAGCAGCTATTTATTAATGGAGGTAGGGTGGAACTTAGGAGAGTACAGCTCCTTTCTGCTGAGAGAGACTATTTCCTGGGATGCTTAAAAACATAGAGGTAGGCTGCTAGACTGTTACTGTAGAGATAATTTGGGTTTCAGCATGAGCCGGACTGAGATTAATGAGTTTACTTTTTACCCTGCTTTAGCTGTGCCAGAGTTTATAGCAGGGGAGCTGGCTACAGTGTAGCTGGGATCCTTACTAATTCAGACATACAGGATATTTTAATGCAGGCAGAAGGAGATTGTGATTGCCCTATATACTGATAACCAAAATCCTAATCAGCCAGCCAACAACAATCTGCTGGAACCCAGGAAGCCTGTCAGCCTCATGCTTGCAGTCCCCAGGCCATCCAGGGATAGCGGAATGGGTTTATCTGAGAAAGCTAATCTCTTCTGCAGTCCCAAACAGGACTGCCCCCTAATGAAAGCAGAGGCATTCATGGAGGTACAGTTCAGAAAGGAAGAGAAAGGATGGGAAGACATGGTAAGCCAAGGCCAGGCAAGGCAGGACAGTAAGGGAGAATACTCAAAATCAGTCATACCACTCCGACTTTTGAATTTTCTGTAAGCAAAACCTAGTTCCAAATTTGTTCTTAAATAACAATCTTGACCTTAAAAAGGCACCTTTTTTTTTTTTTTCTCACAATGCCACCTAAAGATAAGCTAAGCCAGAACTATTTCTTTCTCCAAATGCCTGTTTAAATGTTTAAATACTTGAGGTTTGTTAAAAAAATATGTCTCTAAACACATTTTATCAAGTGAAGGAGATTTGAGAGAAAACCAACAGGATTACCCCTGCATTTTTGTAGTTAGAGGAATAATATTGTTTTGTTCCATCAATGTGTCCACTTTACATTGTTCAGCACAAAGCTTTGTGAAATAAGAATCATGGGAATATCACAATATAAAGGAAAAAGGTACAAATAACAGCTTCATAAACTGAGAAATGTACATAAATAAATCATGTAGATGGGGGAGTTTGCTTAGCTGGCAAGAAAAAAAATGGAAAATATGCTTGTTAAACAATAACCACAGAGTGTGCTTTTATGATGTTTTTCACCACAGTAATTCATATTAGAGATAGAAGCAGTTGCATGTTAAATAAAATCATTCAGCATTGTTCTCCTCACATTACAAAGAGCTGACTTATGTTGTTTTTAGATGCCTCCCATTAGAAAGTAAATATTCCTCTGATGTTATGCATTTCAGAAAATTTAATAAAGATGAACTGTAAATAAAGTCACAGGGAGATTTCAGACAGTTTTATTAGCAGATTGTTGAAAAGAAAAGAAAATTAAATACAATAACAGTAAACGTGGTTCTCACATTGAAACCAGGCTCAAATAACTAGGCTACCATAGAAAAATTTCCAATTCTTGCATTATGATGTAAAAACAGATTTTTGTACAGTTTTTGTACAACAAAATTCGTAATAACCTTTTTTCATTTTTAGAAAACTTTAAATATATAGATAAAAATAGACAATTTTCATAGGTCCTACATGAAGATGAGTATGTTCTGTTCCAAGGGCTTGCATAGAGCGCAAATGTGGTTATAATATAGAACAACTAGACATCAATATCTTTAAGATTACAAAAGCATATAAACAATAACATGAGGACAACTTTTCTTCATAATCTATGCCAAAAAAAAAATAAATCCAAATCAAAAACCAAAACCAAAATACCAACCCAAAACTTGTAAAACTAAAGAGGGGCAAGAAACTTCAATTTACGGTAACATCTCATGTTCTGTAATATTTACAGTTTTTAGCAAGATTCTTTCTAAACGTCCAGCTCATAAATTGGTTCCCCTTTAATCCTAAACACTTCTGTTTATGTACCAAGCCAAACACCGAGGCATTCCCAAAGGTCTTGAAAGAATATACTGTAAAACTACTAAACCTACTTACAGGTGACTCTATGCAAGGAGCAGAGCAATGGTAAATGCTAGTACATATTTCAGTTGTAGGCTTTTAATTCTCTTTCAGATATGAATGATTCAAAAGCTTGCCACAAATCCATCTAACTTTACAGCTGTTAACCCTTTAAAGACTGCATATGAAAAAACTGGAGTACAGAATCCCATGTGTGTTTAAGCAACTATGACAATCATGAAAGAATCATGGTTAGAAAATAACATCACTACAAAGTATTAGACAACAATATTTAATGAAAAATATTGCTCAATATTTCTTTAAAAAAATTACTGTGATGTGAACTTGTATATACATCTTTCTATTGTTAAAAAAGGATTGTGGTGGAGTAAATATGAACTGCACAAAATAAATGTGTACCAGTATTGCAAGGAAGACCTACAAACTATAGAAGCTCAGTGCTAGAGTTTACAAAACATTAGATTTTTTTTTTGACAAAACAATATTAATATCCAATCGGAACTACTTTTAAAGAAATATTTGCTTTAAGTTAGGCATCTTAGACATTTAAGGTTTTGATATGTTTCCATGAAATAAATAATATTTTATATGCATAAAACATTAGATGAAGAAAGCATAATCACAAAACTTACAGTAATAGCACTGATTCACAAAATCAGTCTTTAAAGGGGTAACCCAAAAGTACGCAAAGCAAAGAACATAATTTTTAGTAATGTAATAAGCAGTGTTTTGCAGCTTACTTCCAGTTATCAGCACAAAGGTGAAAACACATATTGTAGCTTTCATAAAGACAGTGAAAGGAACACATAACCATCCATCCCTAAGACAAGGTGGGAGGGACAATAGACTTCAACTGTATCACTCAGTTCTACGTGGAATTGGACTGATACATCAAGTGTTTGTTAGGTTTGTTTTTGTTTTTTTTAGCAACATTGACGTAATATGACATTAACATATAAAAATATTTCTGGCATTTTGACTCACTGCTCAGCCACAGTCCATTCTTAGAAGTGCTCTAGTCAGGGCACTAACCAGGGCTCAATATACAAATAAAAGTGGCTGATACAGAATTCTGACTTCTTACCAGATGCTTAAGATCTCATTCAGTAATACTGTGACTCCAGGACAAATATTTACATGCCTGCATGCGTTAAAACTAGAAAGGTGTCTTTCTGACCAACAGGGTGACAAAACAATATTATCTAAAAGTTTCATTTCCTAAACTCTAGATTTCTACTGCATACATAATACCTTCCTTGTGTGATTTGTGTTATATACTGTACATGTGACCAACATTTTGATTAGAAGCAAAGTCTTTTATTTCATAAACCCCTGCCAGTTTACAATGAGAAACTATTATTCTTTTTATTATTTTTTTTTCAATTTTATTTTAGGAAAAGAGACTTTGTGAATGGTAAAACAGTTTGTTTACATTCAGCATTTCTTTTCACTTACACAAAATTCCATTTCACTTAATGTAGTCTAACATATATGTGTTGGTCTCTCAGAAAGCATGTGGAAAAAATGTCTTTAGAAGAAAACCCACGATCATAGTTTGAAAACTGAATGTATCAATTTTTTCTTCTTTTACCTTTTTTTTTTTCCTTTTTTTTTTAAATAAGAATCCTCTTATGCCCTCTACAAGTTCATTTCTGAGCTGTCTTGCTGGTTTCAGTATGGTATAACAGTCTGTAAGTGTACTTGGACACCGCTGGAAGGATCATTGGATGTGCTCAAATATAGAATCATCAGAGGAGAGTCTGCATTCCTTGAAAAAGGGAATACTCAGCCTTGTTCTGACCGCCTGCAATTTTGGATACAATAGTCCAGCGCAGAGATGCAGATTTTCGCTGTGAGAACAGTGCTACTGTACATTTACAAACATTCTCTAGATCTCCAGGTTGAGCCACAGGAGATAACCAAAGGAGGACACTCTTGCAGAATTCTTTACATTTTTGAAGAACATTGATAAATGAAGTTGAGGAAGTTGGTTTGAAAACATTTTGTTTCCACAGAACTCCTTATGAGCCAATGTCTTACTGCAACGTTCTTTACCGTAGCACACGTATTTTCAGCAGGAAAAATTCAATACATGACAGTAGTTTTCAAATAAAGTCTTCCATCTAAAATATGAAAGAGAAACATTTGCTTTATATATTTATATCTTGAATGAATCAAAAAGAGGAAAAACCCCACAAGATTTAAAACCTCAGCGGAAGTAGTCATGCAACAAATCTGTAAAATGTCCCCTCTGGTATTTTTGTCTAAAATAAAAGAAAATCACAAAACCTGAATGTCACCTTGGCAATTTCATCTGTCAGTGGTCAAATTAACTCTGTTGAAAATTACACGCACTTTGCAAGTTGTGAAAACTGAAACAACTTCTGAAGCTTTAATGTATGCTGGACTCATATCACTGCTAGGGCACTAGGAATGTAGGTGGAGCCTCTGTGCATGTGTTTTTACTGATATGCAAACATAACTGAACAGTGCTGAACAGCAATTATTTCCTTCATGGTTGCAGAGCAAAAAAATCTTCTTGCATGCAATCATTAGTACTCCCATCACTAAAGGCATAGCTCATACTTTCTGATTTAGCTGTGTTGTTAAATATACCATGTAATGTAACCATTGTGCACATTTGTAGCTATTTATATAGAACCCGGTATAGGATATTTAAACGGTATCAGTGAAGTATAGCCTCCTTCCCCCCATAAATGAGATTAACTGAACAATTACTATGTTAAAGATGTAAGCACGTTTCTCACAACATTTTTTCCACCCAAGTGAGGAGCATATATTTAAGTGAGATATGTGAGGGAACATGTAAAACACTAAGCCCACCTAACCAGTAAGTGTTGATCTAGAAAAATTTGAAGATAACTTACTGCCACAACATATTTTCACCTAATTTGTAAGTACAAAGCAATTTTTTCTTCACTTGGGCCATGAACATCGTATATACACCTACTTTGATAGAATTTAAAGATTATTTTTTTAAAATACAGAAAACAGACAGAGAAGTTTCTCAGCTTTCTGACCTGTAGGGTAGAAAGTGTTGTCCCCATGTGAATAAAGCACTTTATGAAGCAATTATTCCTCCCCAGTGCATAATTACTAAACACTATTTATATTTTAGAATATAAGCATTTGCAACTACAAGCTGTATCTCAGCTCTTAAAGTTTGCATGAACTTCTTATTTAAATCTGTGTAAATTCAATAAATATTTCTAAGATTTCAGAAGTTCCTGTTTTGGTTTGCTTAGTCCAACATTTTTATTCCAAATCTATTTATAGAATTTTTTTATTAGATATACAATAAAAATTAGATATACAGTGAAGCAAATAACCTGTGTGAGACAAACCTGCGCAAATTTGTTCAAATTTTTTAAATGCTAAGTTATCAGCCATGCTGAAAGATATGGCATCACCTCCATGAACTTACTGTAATTGTTGAAAGAAAGAAAAGTTAACCTGAAAGTAGACAGAAGTACACACCACACAGCTGTAAAACCTTCTGCACACTCCTTTCCAGCTCTTTCAGAATGACTGGGGAAAATGGGAAGCTGGAGAATCACTGTGTGGAAGTGATTCTTATCTAATGTCCCTTTGTTTTTCCTTTTCCACCACTAGTTTTCTTTTGTGAACTTCAGCAGTATATGCCCTTTTGCTACTTTCTCCCCACCTTTCCATTTCCCTAATTTTTTTTATTTTATTTTTTATATATATATATATATATTTTTTTTTTTTGGCAGAGTACATGATAACTTTCCCACTACATAAAAGTGCTTCCTCTCAGAACCATTTCTATTCTCTTTTCGCTCTTTACGGTCTTTTTTGGCACTGAGGAGAAATAAAAAGGAATTGAGTAAGGCCTCAACTTAAAGACTTTTTTATTATTATTTGATGCATGAAAACCAACCAAAATGCTTATGGGAACTCAGGGGAGAAAGAAGGGGCCTCTGAAATGGAACTCAGTAAAACTGAAGGCCTGGAGCACCATCTCCAAAGAAAATCTGCATTAAGTGCAGGATAGCTAGCTAGCTACATTTCCATGCAGTTCTCCCAAACATATTGAATAAACACAATAAACATTTACAGCACTAAAGCTGTCTAGATACCTCTGCAGGAGTATTACTCTGCATATATACCAGCACTTTGACTATCCTGAATTCACGCTTGCTAATGAGTGCTATGTATAATTCCCATGTCCTAACATTCTGATAACCTGCAGTTGGCAACTAATTTTATTATACTAGGTCTCCATTTACCTTTTAAAATAAAATATGTATTAAAACTAATTCTCAGTTTAAAATACAGCTGCAGGAAGCAGAATCCTTGTAGCAGCCAACAAAAGATAAACAGCAGTACATTTTCAAAAGTCAGCTCTATTTTACAGTGCTTAAGGATCCAACCTGGCAGTGAAATCAATAGGAGGTTTTTCACTTTTAAAAGAAGACACTATCAGATCCTGTATTCTGTATCCACAGACAATGAATAAGAATAGAAACAGGCAGCTCTACAAAGCACTTTCCTTACAAACTAAGAGGATACTTGTTTATATGTATAAGTTCTCTCCAACATCTTCATTAACAGCTTGGCCACAGTACTCGAAAGAATACTAAGTTTGCCAGGGAGGAGTTGTTGACTCCCTCGAGGGCAGAGAGGCCTTGCAGAGACCTCAACTACTGAGAGGTGAGCAGTCAGACCATATGAAGTTTAATAAGGGCAAGTGCTGGATTCAGCACCTGGGGTGGAGAAATCCTGGTCGTGTGCATAGACTAGAGAACAACAGGCTGGAGAGCAGTGCCATGGAAAGGGACCTGGGGGTCCTGGTCACTGGCAAGTTGAACACGAGCCAGCAGTGCCCTGGCAGTCAGGAGGGCCAGCCCTGTCCTGGGGGGCATCAGGCACAGCATCACAGCCAGGCATGGGAGGAGATTGTCCCACTCTGCTCTGCACTGGGGCAGCCTCACCTCGAGTGCTGGGGACAGTTTTGGGCACCACAATATAGAAAGACATTAAGCTATCAGCACCAAAAGGAGGAAAATGAAGATGGTGAAGGGTTGGGAGTGCTGAAGCTGTATGAGGACCAGCTGAGGTCATTGGGTCTGTTCAGCCTGGAGGAGACTGAGGGGAGACCTCACTGCAATCTTCAATTTCCTCACACGGGAAAGTGGAAGGGCAGAAGCTGATCTCTTCACTCTCATCACCAGTGACTTGAGCAAACAGCATAAAGCCAAGTCAGGGGAGGCTTAGGTTAGATATCAGAAAAAGGTTCTTCACCCAGAGTGGGGATGGGAATGTAACAGGCTCCCCAGGGGAGTGGTCACAGAACTGTGGCTGAGAAGTTCATGTAGCTCACGAAGAACGAGCAACAGGTGAATAGCAGTGCACTTCAGAAACTCAAAGGCCTCAAACTGTGCTAAGAAAAACTCACAGCTCTGCAGAGGAACGATGACCTCGCATCACAAAGAGGTGATCAGATACAATTCCTGTATTTGACTGCTGTCTCTTTCATTGGTGACTCCTACTACCTTGTTCCTAGCCATTTCTCTCCCTATTCTTAATGTTCTGAGATTCTTTCCAAATGACAAGAACTTCTCAGTGTTGTTGTCAAAGCCACCAGAATCACTTCGCCTCTAGGTGTAGCCAGAGCTCCTATCTGAATACAAGTGGAGTATTACCACTGATAGGCCTTTAATGATTTCAAGGTTAAAATCACAGACAAAACCTACAAATCATGAAAGTGATCAGCAAATCGAGCCAGCTCATCCTTTGTAAGCCAATGTGAAAATGCCACTACTTCTAAATCCTAAATCCCAAGCATGCCTGTGCCTTCTGCCTCCCAATCAGCTTTAATTTATCAGGCCTATTGCATTACTTTCTTCTGTTAACAAATGCAGAGTTTGTCTATCAGCATAAAAACAATTTTATGTAAAATAAATATGGAATATTTTAGCCACACAAACATATGCATACAAACACATACTACACAAACACACACACAGAGCTTTCACTAAGGATGTTTACAATGCTGGGGTATATTTTTAGCCTACTGAAAACTGTTGATCTGTGGTGAAGTTTCCCAAATTTACATACTGTTATATACAATGTAAGTACATAAAACTTACTTTTACTCTTAGGAAGTCAAGCAAAAACACAAACTGGGAAAAATACTGCTAAATTTCTAAATAGAACTGTGTGTGATTAGCAGATTGTCATCTGTTTTAATTGCTCTTTTGCAAATGGCAGCGTTCAGCAAGATCACACAAGCTCATGCTAGTAACTCAAACTGAAAATGCCATTACTCCTAAATATCATTTGTTTTTGTCTGTGGATTGATATGACAGAAATTCTACCCTGAGTGAGGGAGTATTTTTTTAGTTCAACTCTTTTTAATTAAGATTCATTTTGAGGATTTTAAATGAACATGTCCAAATAGCTAAAAGGTCATCAATGTTATAAAAAACAAACAAATGGAACTGACATAAAAGTTTGCAATGCTGAAACAAATCATATGCCTCAGAATGCATTCCCACAGAGATGTCATCTGGGCAATGATTCACTTTAGTGTTCTGTGGGCAGCTTGCAGTAAGTATCTCTGTGGGCCCAGCATTTTCAGAGGGAAAAACACAAACCCACTCAAATATTATTACTATTAATATGCAAACTCATAAACTGATAAAAATGTACAATGAAATGCTAGGTTTTGTCTTCAGCTGCAAACTAAGTAAGTCATCCATTAGATGGTAATGTAGGTATTTCTGCCACTCAGTGCAAGTCCCAGTAGGGTTGTTTGCCGTCCAAAAAATTGTATTCTAGTTTGTATTCTCAGAGTTGCTTTAAAAATAAATGTAACAACAGTGATCATCATGACTATAATACTGCAGTGTTTCATTTATGAAAATCTGCAATAAACATCCAAGGTGTGCTGTCACATCTGAGTTCAGTCATTTGCTATTTTAAAAAAACCTACTGAGGTAAATTCTCCTTAGGAAAAGCATAGTGTTTTATATAGATAGGAGCTAAAAACAACCAACCAAGTGACCAAAGAGACAAAAAGATACAGTAGTTTCACACAAAGAGCTGATAAGAAAGAAACCCCCAGAGTCCATGTTAA